AATCTTTAATTTTATCATCATTAAAGTTACAGAATAAAATCTGAAATTTCATTTTTTTTTATAAAAAATCAAATTAATAATCAAAAACAAAAAAAAAAATTTTAATTTCATATCTATATACAATTAAAAAAATAATACTCGTTTGATATTAATCTTGCATTAGAAATTTGCAATGGAAAATTGAAACACCTAATTGTTATATTGAATTGATAAAATTATGTATTTTTAAATTTAAGCCAAATCATGTAGAGTATAAGTTTTGTGATTTAGTTAATGTTTTAAGTTCCACTTTACATGCTAGCATATGTGACTGTGTATATTTATATCCATAATCATCTTTACTATTATACTTTGCATTAAGAAGTCGTGAAAATACTTATTATATCGAATTTAATTTAAAAACGATTGAATCTACAAATTTGTTGAATTGTTTTCTAACCAATTCTAAATAATTGTTAAAAAGTTCTTTTCGAATTTGAACCTCGACTCTTTCAGAAAGTAGTTTTAAATTTGACGAATATGTATAATTAATATACACGACAAAAAATATAATAAAAAAAATAAAAAAAAATGATAAAATTAAAATACTATTTTTCAAGAGTGAAACAGTATTTAAAAGTTTTTTGTTTGTTTTTTTGAGAGAAGCTATCTCGTGATTATATTGCTCAAATTCCTGAGCAACACAATTAGTAATGGCTTCTTTTGCTTCTATTAAAAATAAATAATTTAATTTTTTTTAAACATAAATTTTAATAAATAATAATAATTACTGTCAGAAATAACCTGCTCTGAAATCATTTTATTCGTTATTTAAAATTACACAAATTTTTAAAAATCAAATTTAAAAATTCCGGCTCTTAAATACCTTCTGGAGCTGTTGTAAACGAATCTGATGTTCCTACAATACCTGAGTAAGGTGGAGGTGGTGAATCTGGAACAGATAACAACTCTGAAAAAGAATCTTCTCTGCGAGTAGAAGGATAATGTTCTTCTTGATTAGGAGCATATCGTCCAGATTCGGTTCGTCTCAAAAGATACGACATGGTGATATCAATTAATTTAATAAAATAACATATAAAGCTTGTAAGAAACACATAGAAAATTTATTATTGTTCAAGTTGCAGAAATGTTTTCTTTATAACCAATCTGAATATAACTAAAAATAGATACTTATTGTAAATCCAAAATAAAGACATTTTTAGACACATTGATATCAGTTAACCAAATCAAGTAAATAAATCTAATCAAAAAATTGTTTATACGGGGTTATTCTATATACACAAATTTAGGATTACATATTATTAGATAATTAGCTCAGTTATACACATACAATAGAAGACAAGTCGAACTTCATTTTCTCAAATGTAGAAAATAACGAAAATCAAAATCTTGTAAACACTATTAAAAAAGAATATATAAATAAATAATTTAATAAATATTTAGCTCGTTCCTTTAATAAAATTTTTATTTTATTATAATAATTTATTTTAAAAAAATATACAAATTTTAAAATAAAATTTTAAAAAAAAATTTAAAAAAAAATTTAAAAAAATTTAAAAAAAATTAAAAAAATTAATCATTTTTAAATATTTCTGACTCGTATTTATCTAATAATTCAATGTTTTTATCAGATAATTTTTTATTACTAATCTTAACCTCGCTTAATTCTCTTTCTAATCTTTTTATATTTTCAACCAAAGACAAACCTTTGTTGTAGTTGGAG